TGATATATATTGACGCCCTTATGCTGTGTAGAAAGTTTGAGCTGATTTCGAGCTCAAATTTTCAAATTATGACCAATTTTTGAAAATGGCCAATTTCGGAAAATTACCCTGTACTATTATAACTCATGGTTTTTTCTGAAAAATGAGTTTAAAATCACTACAAATTTCTATTACATTTTTGATGCTGTGTAGCTTTAAAGTTTAAGCTGATTCCAACTACAAATCGTTAAGTTATAAGCATGTTATGTAGTTAGTACATTTCACAATAGTCAGCCACACCCCTTAACTCACGCTGTGCTTCCTGTCTTGGAAGTTATCATTAAAGAATGTCGGTAGCCATGACATTAGCGGATGTAGGAAGAACCCCTCACAGAAACTAGCATAAAACATTGCCCTAAAGAAGATAAAAAATATAGAGGTGTCCTTATTTTAGAGTGTCCACAATAGCAGGTTTGACTATATATGTACATGTACATGCACAATACCAAATATTCTCTCCCTCCCTCCCTCCCTCCCTCTCTCTCTCCCTCCCTCCCTCCCTCTCTCTCTCTCTCTCTCTCTCTCTCTCTCTCACTCACAGAACTGATCCTTGCTTCATTAAACTTCTCCATGGTACATCAAAAAAAGATGGTGGCTTACTACTGCTATTATTATTATTATTATTATTATTATTATTATTATTATTATTATTATTATCATTATTTGATAGTTCTTGTTTAGGTGATGAGTCCAATAGCTGATAGTGTATTTTAGAGGTGTGTCTTCTTGATAGCCATCGTAAGAGTAAGCCCCACCCAATCCCTGATACTCCTATTAACAGGAACATGTACTCCCACCCATGGGAGAAGAGGAACGTGTATCCTAGGAGACCAGTGAGGACTGACCTGGAGGAACATGAAAATGAAGAAGAAAAAAAAGGATTATCTATATTATACACGTATGTATTATGTACATGTACTTTACTTATTAATTTTATGTACATCTTAAACTTTGTGGTATTAAAGAAGTAAAATTTAAGACATAAAAAATATACACTGTAGCACATGTTGAGTTTGTTTAAAGTGATCAACACGTACATGTAAATTTAACAATAATAATTTTTAACTAAAAATGCTGAAATTAGTATACAGTCAAATCTCCAGTCAATACACATCCAAACCTACACACAATTAATAATGTACATTATATGTGAACATAGTCAAGTACTACCACTTTCAAAATGTACATATACTCATAATGTACCTTATAGCGCTTTAATTTGGCGGAGTTTTATTTTGGCGATTGGCGGTTTACAAGCAGAATCACCAATATTAAAACCGCCAATCATCAATGCGCATGCTCAGTAATGCACGTGTACACAAAAATCGCCAAATTAAAAACTGCCAATTACAATTTTACAGCAAAATTGCCAAAATAAAGCGCTATACAGTATATATAAATACTCACCCTATTGGTGGTCCAGCATGTATCAGTCCATTCACAAAGCTTCTATTCTCATCAGATACTCTAGTGGTCAATAAACTAGCAATAGCAGGGAAATACACACCTAAGAATGTACATGTACATGTATATACATTTTCAATTGTTGATGTAGGATCATACATAAGAGCTAATAGCATTTAATGCATGTACATGAAGCTTCTTCAAACTTGAAAACAAATCAATATAATATCAAGTTCATTTTAAATATTACTTTCATTTAACTACATGTACTTTTATTACTTAATTCAAACCTTCTCTCTCTCTCTCTCTCCCTCCCTTACCTTGACTGAGTCCATTAGTGAGGTGAGCTACAAATACTAAAGTGTTGGATATACTAGCTACAATAGATATTGATAGAACTGCCCCGCCCCAAACCAATGCTGATGTCCACAGTACTAGCTCTCCACCATATTTATCACCTAACTGTCCCCCTATCACCTGAGTAGCACTGTAACCCCAGAAGAATGAGGAGAGAATGATACCCTGAGAGAGAGAGGGAGAGAGAGAGAGAGAGAGTGAATGAACAAAAAATTAGTACATATGATCATGAACAGAGATAGCAAAAGAAGTACTGTATTTTGATGTATGTGTACATGTATAAGTAAACACTAAGCAGCCAAATTTATGTACAAGTGGATCAATTTTTAATTCAGCTAATTTGTGGACACAAATAGTTTAAAATGGGGCAGATGTAACAGCACTTTATTTTGGCAAATAAATACATACATGTGTACATACAGTTCTCAAAATGCTAAATCAGCCAAATTCAAACCCCTC